GGTCACTCAGGGTGTGCGTGCGTGCGTGTGTGCGTGTGCGCGCGTGAGCGCGCGCGTGTGTATGTGTGTACGTGTGTGTGTGTATGTGTGTGCGTGCGTGCCCGTGTGCGTGTGTGTGTATGACCACACACCTTATACACCATTATACGTATATAAGGAGGGGTGATATATTCGGCTGACACCGTTTTCTTACGGACCCGCGATTTAAACTTCCGACTCTAAAATTATCTGCCGGAGCCATTTGGCGAGCTTTTTGCAAAATTCCAGTATCAAACCGCGTTCTTTCTGTATTAGTGAAATACTAGCTGTTCGCAGCTCTTTATAAATAGCACGCACGCGCACGCGCGCACGTCGCAGAGGCCATTTTGTTGAGCGGGAATTTATTCGCCAAATCTGAGCGAATACTCATAATGTTCTGACGCCGCGCGCATACGATAGAAAAACAGCGCGCGCGGCCGTGACTATTTATAAAGTTGAAAATCATGATGGCGGTTTTTCGACGCGCGCTGGCTTCTTGTTTATAAGTGTGTGCAGTGCTCCCCTCTCCCCTCCCCTTCTCGCCCATCATCTCATCCCTGCGAGGGAAACAGAGAGCGGTTCCTCCGAGAGTTATTCGCATGGATACCGACGGATCTCGCGCGGCTTTTGCCGGCGTCTGCACCCACACACGAACGCACGCACACGCACGCACGCACGCACGCACGCACTGCTGGCATTTTTCCCAGCTCTATAAAATAAATATATCAACATGCGTCTCTCGTGTTGTCCGTGCGAGATGTATTATTTAATCATTTGCCCCCCTCCCCCCAAACACACACACGCACTACCACGCGCCACACACACACGCCACACACACACACACACACACACACACCACACCAGCACCCGCACACACGCAACACACGCGCGCAACACCACACACACACACACACACGCACGCATACGCACGGACGGCACACGCACGCGCCGCATACTCACCCCGTGTGCAACACGCGAGGTAGTATATAGCGGTTTCTACGAAGTCGTGTCCATAAACGGAGCAGCAGAGGCGCTGCTGGAAGCAGAACGAACCAACGCGACGCGTGTCCACTGTCGCCGCGCGGGGACGGCGTGCGCATGCGCGCGATGGCCGGAATTCGCCTGCATCCAAGAGCTTTCCGGTCGCAGAATCTGCTCGATTATAACAGCGTGGCAGGCAGGTACACGCGAGCGCGCGCCGCGCGGAATGTGCTGTGGTGTTGTGGTGTGTGTGTGTGTGTGTGCGTGTGTGAGGTAGGCAACACGTTCGGCGTATACTCCGATAATGCGATTAATGCTCCCGGCTTGATCGCAAACGAGCTTAGCGTACGATGCATCTTTGATGAACTCTGTAACCACATTATCTCGGCTAATTCCGAGCGACAGTTGATGAGGAGTGAGGAGGGAAGAGGCGGAGGAGGAGGTGGGGGGACGGACATTAAAAATTCCGGCGGAGACCCGCTGCCGCCGTCGTGTTCACAAGTGAAAATTTCACGTGGGAATTAGTTGTGAGAGCATCACTGTGATGTAAGCTTTCGATCCTGAACGCAGCTGCAGGGAGTAGTAATAACTGTTCAGTTGTTCACAATCAGTAAAATGATATGTTGATGTAACGTTACATCCCTCGACCTCTGGTATTACGCACGCACACACGCAAACGCATCCCCGCACGCAAGCAACGCTCGCACTCGACACATACAGTTTCTATACGTTCTATACATCACACCTTTGCTGATATCGTACTCACGTTCTAAATGAAAGTAGTGGTTTCCGCCTAGTATTAAAACGAACATCACAAGCTCACCTAAATGTTCTTTAATAATTATACTGGTTAAAATGTTACTAATACTTTAAATACAAAATTCTAATTAGTTGCTACTTTCCACCGACAGCTGAATGTTACCTCATATATTATTCGTGCTGAGTTCCATCACTGGTTCCATCAATTTATTATTACACATGCACATGATTAATTAGGCGAACGTGATAGAGCAACATGTGCATATACAGCATTTCATACTTGCCTAGTATTATTCTGCCCACTCTTGAACTCAACATTTCTCCAAACAACACTCTCAAAAAACAATCGTATACTCAAATACTGTATCATTTGTATCTTTTGTTATCTCGTGTCCTATTTTCTCTTGCCTACAATAACTTAATGGACATAATCATATTCTTTGTTCCCTTGCATTCTATGGCTTCTAAATCATATAGCGTGTTCTTTCACATTCCAAAGATTCTAAATCACATCCCGTTTTCTCTCACATTCTTTAATTCTGCCGTTTGTTACGTTCTATACATTATATATCTATTACGACACCCATACTATTGCCAAGCATCCCTAGCATTAGATAACCTGCTGGCTACTACTATTGTTAGGGCTTCTACTATGAAGATAAGAATACACTGAACAACTAAAAGCCACTACGCCATTGGCTGTGGAAACGATACTATTACAAAATTTTCAAAAAGTGTTATTAGATGGCAGAGGTAAGTAGCATGCGTTAGCGTGCGTATTTCTATATTCCAAAGGTTGGCACATGCACAACACAGCTTCAAGTTAGATTAGTTAAATATCAGACATTTCATAATAATATATTAATTACATTTATTTAGAGTAAAAGTAATTAGTAGTAAATATTAGTAATTATTAGTAATTTAAACTAACTAGCTGTATTTAGAATATATATATATATAACATTTGATGGGTAATATTTAACCTAATAACACTATAGATTAGGGTCACTCTTAAATCAATATTATATATTACTATATGCTGCATGGGCTGTCGAAACACGGCAATAGTAGACACCAGTGTTTGTAATACACGATTACACGATTAGATGATATTACATGATTACACGATAGTAGATATTGTGGATATATTATGGGAATCACCGCCCAAAGTAAACCCAGCTTAGAGTATCGCCTAGTACCAATATTCGAAAATGTTAAGGATGGCATAGTTGCCACAATAAACGGAATAGTGGCATTTACACTCGTTCAGAGTATGTACGCATTATATCATATATCTATCTCTCGATATATATATATATAGAGATATATATATATATATATAGATAGATATAGATATAGATATTCATCATACTATACTATAGCCGAGAACGCGACAAGACGAGAACACAGCTTCGCTACAGCCGCACACAGTGTTAACCCTCACCGTGTCTTATCACATTTCAATAAGCAATCAGCCTAATCATTCTCAGCCGAAATATACCGGGGCGCAAATTGCTACCGGTGGGTAATGGCCAGATATTCCCTGATGTGGTTTATTCTGGCAGCTGCCGCGCAAGCAAAACGCTGTTACCGCGTGCTCGGGTAAGTAGGCGGGAGGGAGTGATGTGATATTCATGTGCGCGCGAGAGAGTGCGCGAGGCTGAGATCGACAGAATAGAAGGGAAGCAGCTTGCTAGTCGCATTTGCACGCATGCAAAACAGTCACTGTATTTATAATACAATTATATCTCTCTCAATCTCTATCTATCCATCTATCTATCTATCTATCTATCTATCTATCTATCTATCTATCTATCTATCTATCTATCTATCTATCTATCTATCTATCTATCTATCTATCTATCTATCTATCTATCTATCTATCTATCTATCTATCTATCTCTATCTATCTCTCTATCTATGTCGCGCGCGCGCTCTCTCTCTCTCTTTCTCTCTCGTTCCCTCTCTCTGTGTGTTTGTGTGTGTGCGCGCGTGTGTGTGTATGTGCGTGTGCGCGTGTGTGTGCATGTGCGTGCATGTCCGTGTGTGAGCGCGTGCGTGCGTGCGTGCGTGCGTGCGCGTGTGTATTATATGGCTGTAAAAACCCTTTGTAATCGGTGCAGAGCATATCACGTGCCATGAAACAACAAATCCTGTTTTCGCTGAAATAATTTTCGACAAAGAAAGGTTTGAACGAATTCGACGAGGATAGTATATCACATCTGGTAAAATGTAATGTCAATAAAACACCCCGAATCTGATAATAAACAAACATAAGGCTGAAATTCCCTGCCAAACTGTCACTATTGTTTTTTTTTATAGTTCAAAGTGGCGATGCTGCCAAACTGGTTTTCTTGGTTGTATTTTATTTGAATTTTGTCGATGTCGTCTATCTCTGTAGCTTGTGATTATACCTCGGAAAAATGATTAAGAACGAGGTTTATTGGATGTTTAAGGTAATGTTTGAGTTTATGTTAATTGAGTTCTCCTTTATAAATCATAATCAGACTTCAAAGCAAGTCGCTCTCTATGAATAGAATTTGGAAGATTCCGCTACCCTAGTATTATTTACTTCTGATTTTACATATGGCAACACAAGTATTACATGCATGGTTGTTTGGCAATAATCAGGAAGAAGAAACAAACCATACGAAAACACCAGGTTTCGAATAACATCCTAAATTTCGCGATCTGCAAAACTCCATATTTCCCTTGCAACTTTGACTTTGCAATAACAGTATTGCAATGCGTTTATATATATATATATATATATATATATATAAGCATACACTCTAATTTATATTATTTACGACTTTGTGGGTATGCTCGTACACGATCTTCATAAAACGTCAGATGAAGTACGTTAAAAGTAAAACTGGTAGTTGGAACATGCATATCAACACGAGCTAATAAATACCTAACAAATATCAAATATATCTTGTGATATTGTGTCCGACATACCCCTGACATAATGAATGAATGATAGACCACATGACTGACTAAAAAAGACATAATGATAGCTTGCTCCCACTCTCAGTTACACGATGTGCACATTAAATACACATGAGCAGAAACATGTGAGCATTCATTACTGCTAAATTCTAGGAACATGCGTAGAAATAACTCACATAAACTGGGAGTTATTTATAATTATACCAATCTTGTTATTCCAGACTGATAAAATGAAACACGTGAAAATAGAAAATTCAACAAAGAATTAACAACCGCCGAGAAACACTTACCTCGTTTTTGCATAAACATGAAGAGATCATCTAAAAACTCTTTTCGTTGTGGATCTTCTGATATTTCATATAACTGAAAAAATGGAGGAATTTTTATGAGACTATAAAAATAACGAGAATTCCACCCCTATCTCGTCTCCCACATTTCACGCAATTCTGTTAACATATTCTGTAAGTACTAATCACGCACTGGCAATACGAATCATCAACGCTGGAACGCCTAGCTAAGCAAACACGAGAATCGAGAGAGTAATTATTATTATTAGATTGGGTAAACGATGAGGATGATGATGAACGCACAAGCACACGTGCACTCACGCATGCACTCACGCGCGCATACACACAGATACACGTGCACGCGCACACACAAACACGCGCGCACTCACGCGCGCATACACATAGATACACGCACGCACGCACACACACACGCACGCACGCACACACACACACGCACGCACGCAAGCACGCGTACACACACGCACACGATTATGGTTCATTACATTTAGACAGGGGAGTGGCGACGGCGACCACGCGTTGTTTACACTATAAACACAAGGGCGGCGGCGATGAAAACAACGACACTACTATATAACAGCGAATGAATCAATGACTTTTTTAGAGTTTGCAATCAAAATTACCGGCGATCGAGGGCGACAATTTCCAATTATATGACAACGAATACTCTTAACAGAACGAAATGGGTCGCGTTTAGCATTCGAGTGAAATACAATCGTACGTGAGCGGGTAACGGCTGACTGCTACCGGACAACTACACGAATAATGTACCTACACGCGCACAAAGGAATTGTCAATCAGAATTCTACGCGTGCACAACCCGTTTTGTAAAATGAAAAAAAAGGCATCATCGTTTCAAAACACTTTCATTCACAATAAAAGCCAGTTAACAGGTAACCTCAAAAATCCGATGCGAACTGAAGCGAGCAACACACTGAAAGGACGATACTGAATTATATGCTTTCTAACAAGACATCCTTCCCATACACGATGTGCGTACGCTTCGCACGCGTATGCTGCCACGATGCTTCCGTCGCTATGACTTATTTATGACAGCCGATTATTCTTTTTACGCGATCGTTAAATGATGAGAGATTCGTATCTCTGCATCGAGTGGAGTGACAGATCTAGACACTTCAAGCAATATTTCTCTGCACAACTGACGCCATTGTTCTCGTCAACGCTTCTCCCGCCTTTATAAACGCACATTCATTAATAAAAGATGAACATTCAAAGTATAGAAGTTGGCCACGCTTATATCCAGTCTAGTATCATAAATATTCTTAATAAACCTGTTATACGAGTAGGAGGAAACTTTTGGTGGGAAAAAATGGCTGAATACATGCATGCCATTATCAAGCTGTTGGGCAAACTTGCGATTCTTTTTTCATTTTTTTTTTCACACGAGAATAATTTTTTTAAATAACGACCTCCCGACTCGACAAAGAACATGCCAGCCACGACGACTCACCGCACCCCTCCCCCGACGCACCGCACCCCTCCCCCGACGCCCCGCCAACCCAGCAGCTGCGGCATAAAAACGCATTTTCGGTGAAAAACTCACAGATGTGAAATTTTTACCAAAAATGGCCACAATCACGCTACAGTAACAAGTTTTTTTATGAGAATACAAAGCGCCAAGCCCCTGTCGCTCGGCCCCGGGCAACAGCAAACTCAAATTAATAGAATGGACCATTCATATGCAAGCATGCAGAAGGAACAGTTCAGATGCGAATAAAGCGGTCTGTACACCCCCTAAGTGGGTCTCAGCGGTATGCGCCTGTATGAAATTTTCGGCCGACGGACGCCACAAGCGAATGCATTAATAAAATGCTGCTCAATGTCACACTAGGCATTAATCTGTGCTGAGAGAGAGAGAGGGGGCGACGGCTGCCTCTCGTGGGGCCGGCCCTGCCAGCCGGTAGTCATGTTCGACCGGACGTGTCATACAGGAGAGACGGGGCAGGCGACAGCACGCTGGAGGGTTAGGGAGGGGCACTACTTGCACGCCATTGTATCCTCAGTGCTACCCACCTGTTTGCACAGAAGTGACAGCTTAGACGCACGCACACACACGCACGCACGCACACACACGCACGCACGCACCCACTCACGCACTCACCCAGTGCACGAGCATTTTTGAAGATGAAGACTCACTACCCCTCCCTCACCCTTAAGAAGCTGCTTACGCTATCTGCACTACTCACAATGCGCCGCCGAGGCGTAAGGCAGGCGCGTGCGGGGGCGCCATGCATATTATATATTATATATTGCTTATATACAGCCTATCCGTGTTAACGTATTAATTGCGTCCGCCGCAGATAGCATGATTATTGATGCACGCATTGTGAAATCATTCCATGCAACCACACACAATGCCTCATTCAGAGTACAGGCTAACAACAGTGCGCGCGCGGCTGCAAGACCCTGCATGGACATTAGATGTTATCAGTAATAGATATTATGCGTAATTCAGGCAGCCACGGCGGACCACCTGTGCGCACCGGCTACCTGCTCAACTCGCTGCTGCTGCTGCGCGCGTGCAGCTATGATAAACTCATTTATTAATGACTATTTGCATTATGGTCGCGCTCGCTGATCTACCTTAATGCGAAATAGCCCAAACAAATGGCTATTGTGCGCGAGCGTGGCCGATAGATGGATACATGATCGGCGGGCGAGTAAACACGTGCTGGATTTCTCACGAACCGACAACTGACACACGCGCGATGACGCAATCTACATATAGCGGCATGTACGTATAGAGCGCCACTATAGAGTATCGCGTATAGGATTGCGACAACATACAGAGCTGTTCTATACATCGTATAAGCACGAGTGAACAGATGCATCTAGCAGTAAATATATATTATATATATATATATGTGTTGTAGAGATGTCGAGAGAAGCATGAAGAAAGATGTGATAGTCATGAAGTGTTGAGCCTATTATAAATGTGTTTTTTAGAGGTAAAGAGATGTTATAGATATCAAGAGCTAATAATACCTTATTAGGTATTATTAGCTATTGTAGATATGTATCGTGAAGTGCATAGCCATTATTAAAAGTGTCGCGCGAGAAAACGCGTTAGTTTACGTCACACGCTGCAGCACTCCGCCGCCGCCGCTGCCGCGGATAGGATGCTGCCGTACCGTGACCTCCTTCCACGTCCCCGCGACCTCACGTGGGTGACTCTCCCTGTCAGCTCTTTCTCTGTCGTGGCTGTACGTGCGGCGGTGGTCGTCGCTCACCGCGGCGTCGCTGTCCGGGGATGATCTGGCCGTCATCCACCGTGAGACGCGAGAGCAAGCCGTTGTCGATGCCGTTGTCCGTGGCAACGGTGACCTAAGACCGTGGCAGGACACTGAGGATCTAGCAACAGTGCCCGTGCACGCAGGTCGAGGCGACGGGCTCAGCTGTGGTAGCGTGGGTCGGATGTTAAATCGCTGAGGATTCTCCAGCTTCTCCTGTGCTTTTCGTGTTCATTAAGTAATACTTTTTCTCTTGGCGAAATTAGTTCAGATCTTTTGATGAGGAGCCTGACTTTTGATATTTTGATATTTTGATTTTGATATTTTGATATTTGTCGGCTTTAGTGATGTAAAGTTTTTCTGCTAAACAGAGATTGCATATTTTGGAGATGTTGTTGTATGGGCTTGCTGAAGTGATGATTGACCAGTTGATTGTATAATTTTTCTTGTCGTGTCTGAATTTCCAGGTGTGCGTTGAGAGTTCAGTGCTGTTAGCGTATTTTCTGTTTCGAAATGATAGCTTGTGTTGAGTGTGTCGTTGTTTAAATGTTCCCTCTGTAAGTCCGATGTAGTTCTTTCCTGTGGTGTCTTCATCTGTAGTTACGCGTGCGTTGCAGACTAGGCTGGTTGAGAGGCAGTTATTGTCGAGTGGACATTGTTCTTCTTTTCGGCAGTTGCATACGTTCTGGGAGGGGACGGGGTTGTCGCTGGTTATTTTCTTGTCGTGCTTGTTAATTATGGTTGCTATAAAATTATTTTCCGTGCAGCTGCGACTTTTACGTTGTTCTTGTTGAAGATAGAGTGGAATTTGTGTTCTTTGTGGAAATGCTTCTGGATGAGGTTGAGGAAGGTTTTGCCGATATTAGTTTGGACGTTTTGGCTGTATGGAGGGTTAAACCAGATTATGTTCCTTTTTCTGTTCTTTCTTGCGGGTGCAGATGTGTTGCGGCTGGCGTATGTAAGGTTTTCGGTAAATCCGCTTGTTTTTAGAGTTTTTTTCGTAGAGGGGCTTAGCTTTGTCAAATGCTTCCTTGCTGCACGAGATGTCTGATATCCTACGGTTGATGGCTGCGGGTAGTTGTTTAATTATGGTAGGTGGGTGGTTGAATTTCGTGTTGATGTAGAGTGGCTCGTCGTTTGGTTTTCTGTAGGGGCGGTATGATCCGTTTGTTAGATTAAGCGTGATGTCAAGGTTGTCTGCTACTTTCAGGTTGGCTTGTAAGGTAATGTTCAGACCGTGTTCTTGGAAGCGTTTCGTTATGTCCTTCTTTATTCTTTCTGCGTGTGAACCTGTGGTGTTCTTGAAAATTGCGAGTCCGTCATCTCTGTATAGTCCTGATGTTGTCCTTTCCGTACTTGTCGCATAGATTGTTCAGAATAAATAGTGCAACTAGCTCGATATTTTTTTTTTATAGATCGGATCAGATATAAATGGCGGCAATAAGATTAGAAACAAACAAAAAAAGTCAAAATCCGAACAACAATAGACCAGCAGAACAATAGATCGATTTAACTATAGAACTATAGAACTACATAACAATAGATAACTAAAACAATAGCGCCATTCATGTATATATATAGGTTATAGTATGTATATAATGGTAGGGGCACACAAGCGTATTTTATCGCCCGATCGCGGCGAATTTTAAAATCGCTCGAAATATTCGCTCGTGTGCCCGTTCACGGCGACGCCGATTTTAATCGCCCGTACGAATCGCCCGTATCGAAAATGTTAGATATTTTCGGCCGATTATTTACGCCGGCGATTATTTACTGGCAAATTCGCTCGTGTGCCCGTGTCCGGCGTATTTTGTCGAGCGATCGATTTTTTTATACCAATCGGACGTGTTGTTGATATCATGTGATGCATCATGTGATCATGTGATTCCGTCGAGTGGCGTACGCGTACGCTCTCAAATTCGCTACGTGTGCCCCTTCGTGATTGGGCGTATAAATTCGCTGGCGATTTTAATCGCCGCGATCGGGCGATAAAATACGCTCGTGTGCCCCCAGCTTAAGGTTTATTCTTCATTAAAGTCTGTCTGATGATCGGCGTAAGCGTGAAACTCGGAGTAACAGCTAAACGTGATGTCTTGTCTTTAATTTGTCTACAGACTACAATTTATTACGCTCTGCAATTATATATATTCCGTTTAAATTCCAGCTATATTCCGTCCGCACTCCAGCAGTATTCCGGCTCTACTCCACCTGCAATCTGCGCTCTGCTCGCTGAGGCGTGTGGTTTTATCACGACGCACAGTAGCGGTAGGTCTCGTGTAACGAAGGCAGCCGAAATACCTCCCGCCGCGGCGCAATGATAAGAAAAATTCCCACACCGGAACATTTCGACGTTCACCCGCACGACGCACGCATTATCTCTATTTGTCATGCGAACATAAGTTGTCTTTGCACGTCAAGCGAACGCACATTGTTTCTGTTTGTCGTGCGAGCAAGCACTGCTTCTATTTGTCGGACGAATTAGAATATTCCCATGCTGATGACCCTCGTAACGCATTGTTTCTGCTTGTCAGGTGAACGCGCATTGTTTCTGTTTGACACACGTCACACAGTGTTGTGCGCGGCGGCGCCGTCTCACGGTGTTATAGTGCGCCCCCACCTTCAACAAAATCCATGTTTGCTTTGCTAACTGTAAGCGCGGCTTTCGCTGAGATGCCTTTTATTCCGCGCCGGCACGTTCGCTGCCATAAAGTCCGGACAAGTTTGGCAGAAATTCAGCGGCGCGAAAAAAAACTAGCGCTGGGAACTAGAAATGCAAACATTATTAATGACATCGGCCGGGAATGGAATAAGGTGGACCCTCACAAAGAAACAGGTTTTATATAACAATCATGTCTCCGAAGGCAAAGTTCGAATCAGCATTGCGATAGTGATTAAAAGGGGTCAACAGTCGCCACAAAGACTTCTTAAGTGCATGCGCTCATTTTTCAGTGAGGGCTATCTTGCACTCAACAACTCCAACTATCTCAGCGCAAAATAGCCGGCGGCCAATCTGGGCTCTATCACGCACACAGACACGGCCGACGCGCTCGAGCTATTGGACATGATACTTAAACACCCCTCCCCTTACTTCCTCTCGAATAAATTCGACTAGCGCACGCAGGTGGTAGCGAGCGGGGGTGGCATATACAGGGCTTTCTCCTGGCTCCACCCACGACTTTCTACGCGCTTGGTGGCAAGGGGGAACACAAAACAGTTACACCCCACCAACCACCCCCATCCCTGCTCCCCTCCCTCGCAACCCAGACCTCGTATATAAATTCATGTCAATAAATACCTACGCTGAACATTCACGCACGCTCATAGACCTAGATACTCGCCCTATTACATCTGCTCTCTTGTTTTGTGCCGCGGGGTAGAGAGCGTGTGTACCGCGGGGCGGCGCGCGCGCACGTGTCCCCCGTCTGCAGATAACTCGGGCGAGATGCAATATGCAATCAGTGTGCACCTACGTGCATGTGTCCGCGTGTATGTGTCCGCCTGCACGCGGCTGACAATAAATAACACCGCTGCCGCTAGTAAAGGCCACATGAAAGCCGACATCCGGCTGAAATGAAAGCCTCCCATGAGTTGATGAGGCATTACCAGGCCGCGCACGTTTCTTAATATGGCGGTGATAATAGCGACATAAGGCCCATTTTGAGCTAATAAATGTGCTCGAGACACCTTTATTTTGCACTCGTCGCAATATCCGCGAGGCGAGCACGGCTATTAAGCCCGGCTAAATTGAGGACGAAATCTCTGGAGGGTTTCCACGGCATTGTTTTATCTGTTCTTCTTGCGCGCCCGGTTTTCGACTAGGCGAGTTAGAGCGAGAGAAACGAGAGTGTCTGTCTACTTTAAAGTAGCTTGCCTTCCGCCCCGAAGTCATTTTCGGCGTCTTTTTAGGTGGCTATATCATGACATTGGGTGTAGTAATTACATACGACTATAGCGTGACACAGCCAGCCATGTAGAGGTTACACAGAAATCGATATTTTAAACGTTCGAACGGAATGTTTGACATCGTAACATTATTTTATAATGCAAATTTAATTGTAAAAAGACCAAACATGCTATGAAAATATATAAACTTAACATAAACGAGAAAAAATTATAATTTAACAAATTATTTAAAAAAATTCTTGAAAATTTATTTTTGAATAAAAAAGGCAATCCACGCTACTAGTGATTCAGCATGATCAGCTGACTCCTACATTGCATTGCCACTGCAATGACCAGCCGTGTGGATGTCTACATGAGAGATCTGACGCTAAACCAAGCAACGTCTATCGCGCACGCAGCCCGCAGATGTATAAGCTGCATCATCATCATCATCATCATCGGCATCAGCAGCAGCAGCAGCAGCAACAGCAGCAGCAGCACTATCAGTATCATCATCATCAGCAGCAGCAGCAGCAGCAGCAGCGGCAGCACCAACACCACCGCCGCCGCCGTCGCCGTCACTAATCACAGCCACCCTCGACAGCAGCAGCCACAGCAACATCACCAGCAGCAACAGCAGCAGCAGCAAGCAGTACGACCACTACCACCAGCAGCAGCAGCATCACCGCCGCCGACAGCAGCAGCCGCAGCAGCAGCAGCAGAAGGCAGTACCACTACCGCCGCCGGCGTCGCCGTCACTAATCACCGCCACCCTCGACAGCCGCAGCCACAGCACCATACCCAGCCGCAACAGCAGCAGCAGCAAGCAGTACGACCACTACCACCAGCAGCAGCAGCAGCTAGTAGCAGCAGCAGCAGCAGCAGGCACAGCAGCAGCAGTAGCAGCAGCAGCAGCACCACCGCAGCCAGCAGCCAGCCAGCAGCATAGCTATACACGCTCACACTGACACCGGCAGACTCCCGGGCCTTCCATCAGTCACTCGCACGGCTGCCGCATGCTTGTCACGGCAGTGCCCGGTCTCACTCACCTCACAGCCCAACCTAATATAAACCTTTTCCTGACCCCCCCCCCACCCCGCACCCCGCGCGCAATAATCATATTAACCACTTTTTCCTACCAACCTGATCGCGAA